AGGTATATTTATCTTTGAGCAAAGATGATGTTTAGAATTTGGGAGTAATGTGGTCACTTAGAGTATCACTTAGAGTGATAAAGAGAATTTAGGACAGAGTTCAAGGGTATTCAGCAGGCAGAAGACTAGCATGAGTGAATCAGCAGGGAGACTAAGGAGGGTTAAGTGTGGAAGGACTAAGAGTGTGGTAAAAATGATGGCCTCCAAAGAGGACTACATTCTAATCCATGGGAAATGAGTAAATTAGGTTACATGGCAAAGGGTGATTAAAGTTGCAGATGAAATTAAGGTTGCAGGTCAGTGATGTGGCGTGGCTGATGGAGCCACCTCCTGCAGTGCCAGCATCCCATATGGGCACCAGTTCGAGACCCGGCTGTTCCACTTCCAATCCAGCTCTCTGCTGTAGTCTGGGAAAGCAGAAGAGGCCCAAGTCCTTGGGCCCCTGCACGCGTGTGGGGAGAACCGTAAGAAGCTCCTAGCTTCAGATCAGCACAGCTCCTGCCGTTGTGGCTCTTTGGGGAGTGAACCAGCAGATGGAAGACCTTTCTCTCTCTCTCTCTCTCTCTCTCTCTCTCTCTCTCTCTCTCTCTCTCCCTTTCTCTCTCTCTGCCTGTACCTCTGCCTCTCTGTAAACTCTCTGAGTGGGCCTAATGTAATCATCAGAGTCCTTAAAAGCAGGAGGGAGAGAGAGGCTGGTAGTGTGGTGCAGCAGCTTAAGCCATCTCCTGCTATGTCACCATTCCATATGGGTGCCAGTTCAAGTCCCAGCTGCTCCACTTACAATCCAGGTATCTGCTAATGTGCCTGGTAAAGCAGCAGAATATGGCCCAAGTACTTGAGCCTTTGCCACCCATGTGGGAGACCCAGTTGGATTTCCTGGCTGCTAGGAAAGAAGCAGAGGATGACCCTACTACTTGGAATCCTGCCACCCACATGGGAACCCCGGATGGAGTCCTAGGCTTCTGGCTTCAGCCTGGCCCAGCCTTGGCCATTGTGGCCATTTGGGGAGTGAACCAGCAGGTGGGAGATCTGTTTGCATCTGTCTGCCTCTCCTCCCACCCTCTTTTCCCTCTCCAATTTTGCCTTTCAAATAAATAAATGCTTTTTAAATGGAGAAAAGGAGGCTCAAGTAAAGAAATTATTCTCCCCTAGAACGTCCAGACATCAACACAGCCCCTGCTGGCACCATGATTTTAGCCAGTGAGACCCATGTGGGACTTCTAACCTGCAGAACCATACAATAATATATTTGTATTGTTGTAAGTCATGACGTTTGTGTTATTTGTTACAGCAGCAATAAGAAACTAGCAAAGAGATTATGACTTCCCAAATGCCAAGAAAGTAGATCAAGAAGGAAATCGGTGGCCACTTTGCAGTATGCTGCTGTGAGATTGAGTAAATGGGAATGGGACCACTGGGTTTAGCCACAGGGAGAGCACTGGTGACGCTGGCAGGAGCAGTGTTTGTAGGGTGGAAGGAATCAAAGCCCAAGTGAGAGCCAACAGACACATAGGCAGACAATGAGTGTTGACGCTTATATCAAGGGTCTGGCTGTTTACAGGATTGGAGAAGTGAGAGCATAGGCTGTGTACACACGCACACACACACACACTACATGCATGACAGTAGACAAGGACCAAATCAACAATTCAGGAGGGAGAGGAACAATTACAGGAGTGGAGTCCTTAAGTGTGAGGAAATAGGACCTGGTGTCCAAGGAGCAAGGACACTTAGAAGCAGAATCAGTGCATCTATTGTGAGACAAGGCAGAGAGGATTGTGCAGGCACAGAAACAGGTGGGTCATCACTGCCTTATTTCCTAACAAAATACCTGAAGCTGAGCAGCAGAGGAAGAGGTTATTTAGGTCATAGTTATGGAAGCCCAAGAGCACGGCACCAGCATCTGCTTGGCATGACATGTTGGGAGCACCTGTGAGAATGGCCGGTGGGAAAGACCAAAACACCAGGGGTCACTTTGCTTTACGACAAATTAGCTCTCATGGAAACTAATCCAGTCTTCAGATGCCCAGTGGACGCCTGCTAGACCTCATCATGGCTGCTGAAAGGTGTTAATCTGTTCGTGAAAACGAGGCTTCCATGAGCTAACCATTCTTAAAAGTCCCACTACCATTCGACACCATTTAGTTGGGGTTGAAATTTCAACAGGAGTTTCAGTGAGGACAAACAATCGCTGTAAGAAAATGATCCCCCAGGGCTGGCATTATGGTGTAATGGGTTAAGTTGCCGCCTGCATCGTCGGCATCCCATATGGGTGCCAGTTCGAGTCCCAGCTGCTCCACTTCTCATCCAGTTCACCGGTAATAGCCTGGGAAAGCAGCAGCAGATCACCCAAGTGCTTGACCCTGGCTTTGGCTTGGCTTGGACCAGCCCTGGCCATTGTAGCCATCTGGGGAGTAAACCAGCAAATGGAAGATCTCTCTCTCTAACTCTCCCTCTCTCTGTAACTCTTTCAAATAAATAAAAAAATCTTTTTAAAAAGGTGATTCTCAAATACCGACTCTCTTACAATACTGTAGGGTCAAAATAAGAATAAAATGAAAGAATTCACACAAAATGCCTAACGCTTGACTTGGTGTACACTTAGTAAAATACTGGATTTAGTCTTAATTCTCACACTAGAACTCAAGGATCTTCACAATGTACCTTTGCTGTCTTGTATTTCACTACTTTGATAAGCATGTCCTACACTCCAGATGTCTAACTACTCATTTAGCCACACAACAACTCCCTAAGTTGTTCCTTCTACCAGGAATCGCCTTCTTTCTCTTCTATGCCCATGTTAGCACTGACCATCTTGTAAATACCAACACAATTGCTATCCCTGGCATGAGATTTTCTGTGATCCCCTAATCAGACCAAATCTATTTATAAAAAAATTCCTTTAGCAGTCATAGAATGTCTAACATATTGTGGAGAGGTAGTCAGTTTTAAGGATTCTCACAAGTAACTTTTTCTACTAACAAAACGATCTTCCTAAGTTAGAACTGTGGAATCGCATTTAGTCTAAACGTGTCTTATCAAGTTGGCCCAAAGCAGCCTCCCTATGTAGTGAATTGTACCCAAATTCAATCCGTAAACAAGTTATAACCCAACATAATAGCATCATTTCTAAAAAAGGAACTGAGTCACGGCGAATCATAGCAGCTGAACCTCTAGCCAATCAGAGATTGAAAGCCTCTGAAACATGACCATACAAAGCAAATACTGACACTTCCTGTTCTCTACCTATAAATATAACCTATATATATGGTGGGTGGGGCATTCTGAATCATTTTGCTTCAGAGTGCAATTCTAGGATTCTAATTAAGCCAATTTACAGCTATAAAACTATCTTTATAACCTTGCCTGTTAATAAAACAGATAAATTTTTTCCCATGACAAACTCCACGTTATTCTCATTTCTATAGGTTTTCTTAAGTAGGAAAGAGCAAAGCAGAGAAGCCAGCATCCTGAGATTGGGTACAAACTCTGCTTCTCCATGCCAGAGAGAACCACCTAATTCAAAGTACTTTATCTCCCGACAAAACACGTTTCATCCAATGGTTAAGAGCGTGGTGTAGGCCAGCGCTGCGGCTCACTAGGCTAATCCTCCGCCTTGCGGCGCCGGCACCCCAGGTTCTAGTCCCGGTTGGGGCGCCGGATTCTGTCCCGGTTGCCCCTCTTCCAGGCCAGCTCTCTGCTGTGGCCCGGGAGTGCAGTGGAGGATGGCCCAAGTGCTTGGGCCCTGCACCCCATGGGAGACCAGGAGAAGCACCTGGCTCCTGCCTTCGGATCAATGCAATGTGCCGGCCACAGCGCGCCGGCTGTGGCAGCCGTTGGAGGGTGAACCAATGGCAAAAGGAAGACCTTTCTCTCTGTCTTTCTCACTGTCCACTCTGCCTGTCAAAAAAAAAAAAAAAAAAAAAGAGTGGTGTACATTAACATACTCTGTCTTGTACCCTTCACAGATGAAACAGCAGATCTGTACTGGCTCGTCTTAGCCAATACTCCTATAAAGTTTATCTAATTTATACCATCTTGTCTATTTCGTATCTTCATTCTCAGTACAGGGTTTACATACCAGGCGTCAACAAATATTTGCCAAACCAGTGACTGAACAAAGAGCTATTCTGGAGACATCCTCTATTTAACATTTTCCATCCTGATTACATAAAGAGATCTAGGAGTGGCAAGTTAGCCTAGGCAGTTATGATGCCCACATCTGACATCTGAGTGCCTGGGTTCGAGTCCCAGTTCTGGTTCCTGACTCCAGCTTCCTGCCAGTGTAGACCTTGGGTGGCGGCAGTGATGGTTCAAGCTGTTGAGTTTTTGCCACTCACATGGAAGACTTGATTTGAGTTCCCAGTTCCTGGTTTCAGCCTGATGCCAGCCACAGCCACTATGGGCATTGAGGGGGGAGGGGAGAGGAGGTGGTCTCTCTCTCTCCTCGCCCCCTTTCTCTCTCTCTCCCTCCCACCTTTCTTCCCTCTCTCCTTCTCTCTGTGCCTCTCAAACAAAAATTTAAAGAAAGAGATCAAGATCTAACAGTTAAAAATCAGAATATGGGGCCAGCATTAATCTGCCTCCTTTGATGCCTGTATCCCATATGGGCACCAGTTCAATTCAAGTCCTGGCCATTCCACTTCTGTCTAGCTCCCTACTAATGGTCCTGGGAAAACAACAGAAGATGGCCCAAGTACTTGGGCCCCTGCACCCACGTGGGAGACCCGGATGGAGTTGCAGGCTCTTGGCTTCAGCCTGGTTCACCCTGGCTGTTGTGGCCATTTGGAGATTGAACCAGTAAATGCAGGATTGACCTCTCTCCCTCTCTTTCCTTGTGTGTGTCTCCCTCGCTATATGTAGCTATGCCTTTCAAATTAATGAGCAATTTTTTTAATGAAATACAAATGCTCCCTAAGATTTCAGTGAGACTAGAAATAATTCAACAAGCAGCCCAACAACAGAGGTGGAACACATTGCTGAATACTGATAGTACTCACCCAGCTCATCTTGACAGAAGCTTCCTGGCGGGTTGATGTATTTCATGGTGCTCACATCTAACTTCCAGTTGTGCTTTGTGCATTTAACAGACCTGCATGCAAAGTTGTACTTAGTTTATGAAAAGGTGAAAATAAAAATTAAACTTGATTAGGCTTAAATGCACTGTTTAGCACTGAAGGTAAATTAGCTGAATACTAAATACGCAAAAGAAAAACTATGAATAGCTAATATTCAAATATCCAAAGGAATAGAGACTAATCATTAATAGGTGATTTTGACATGAAAATAGAGCCCATGTCACAAAATTACATGTATCAGAGATCAACAGAGACAACAGAACAAAGCAGTCTTCAGAAATGACTCTCTTAGAAAATTTAAGTTAGATTAAGAGCTCACTGGGGCGAATACAAGGAAAGAATGTAATAGTAAACACACATGATTTATGATCATTCCTTGATCTTTGACCCCTAGAACAGTGCTCAAAGAGAAAATTTCAAAGGAAAAAGATTTTCTTATAGTTTAAGATTTCAGAGCATAATTAGCAGAAAAAATACAGGATGTTTAAACATGAATTTCAGACAAATAATGAATACCTTTTGAGTATAAATGTCTGTCAACATCTAATAAGGCATACTGATAGTCAAATTTACTTACATGTAATTTAAATTTAACCAAGTATTCTGTGTTGTTGTTTGCTAACTGTAGTAACCTTCTCCAGAACGAGAATCAGCCTGTAACAGAACAGGATGCCTGGTAGCTTCTCTTTCCCGCCTTTCTATTCAGAGCTCTGGGCCTGGTGGAGTTGTTGGGGGTGAGATATGAACAGTCCTGTTTCTTATTTTAGTGGTAGCTTTTCCCACTACGCCACAGCGCCGGCCCCAGGATTTTTTTTTAAACAAGGAAATGTGTCTCAAACCAGAAACATTTTGTTTTAATTAAAAACATCTACTTTAACATACAAGTGAATCGTGCCACCTCTTTTGAGCTTCATTATATGCAATTTTAAAATGACCTTTCTTAGTTATAACGCAAAAAAGCATACTGCACACTTCAATTTATGAAGGATTATTCTGAAACCCCGTTCTCATCCAGAAGTGGCCAAAGACCTTTCAAACAATTCAGAGAACATTTTGGGGCTGATGCTGTGGTGTAGTGGATAAAGCTGCCACCTGCAGTGCCGGCATCCCATATGGGCATCTGTTCTAGTCCCGGCTGCTCCACTACCAATCCAGCTTTCTGCTATGGCCTGGGAAAGCAGTGGAAGAAGTCCCAAGTCCTTGGACCCCTGCACCCGTGTGGGAGACCCGGAAGAAGCTCCTGACTCCTGGCTTCCGATCAGCGCAGCTCCGGCCGTTGCGGCCAATTGGGGAGTGAACCATCAGATGGAAGATCTCTCTCTCTCTCTCTCTCTCTCTCTCTCTGCCTCTCCTCTGTCTGTGTAACTCTGACTTTCAAGTAAAATAAATAAATACTTAAAAAAAAGCAATAACTCAATTTGGAGCCATGGCTGGGAGAAACTGTGGTGGGCTGCCACTTCAGCATACGTATGCCTGGTGAGCTGCCCCGGGGAATAAGGCTGGGAGAACCAGGCAGGACGGAATTAGGATCATCCCACCCAGGCTGTGGCAGAAGGGGAGAAAGACCACCCTGTGACAAAGCCATCACTACGTTTGGATGAATAAACAGGACAGAGAACTTATGTGAGCTCCTGGAAATAATCCCTGTACACGGCTTCACAAGGCACTGCCGACATCGTAACAGCAGCAGTAGCCACACCGCCTCCCACCAGGAGACCACCGGCACGTGGTTGTGGTCGTGGTTTTGTTTTGTTTGTTTGTTTGTTTTTGACATATTTGCATGATTAATTCCCTCAGAAACCTCACGAGGTGGGTGATACTTTCATCCTCATTTTATAACTCAGAAGACTTGAGGCCCACCAAGGCTAAGAAGCACGTCTAAGCCAGCGAGTGGTAGAGCCTGGTAGAGCCAGACTTCTAACCCAGGCGGATACAAAGAGGGATCATGCCCTCAGCCACTAAGCTGTAACAGCTGTAAATGGTTAAATGGACACTGTGTCAAATAGCTCACTGAGAACAAACTGGGGAAAGTCCGAAGAGAAAACCTCACCACTCGTGACTGTTGCCCAAGTCTGTCTGTGACAGGACCACATTGGAGGCCTGCCAGACTTGATACCATTGAGAAGATGCAGCCTACCTAACCCGAGAGTCTACACACAGCTGGCAGCCCAAAGAACGTCCCGTCAGCCACGTGTGGAGTAAAAACACGTTGTTCCATGGATGCAAATGTTAAAGGAGTGCCCTGTATTTATATTTGCCCATCAGCAGAATCAAACATGCTACAGGTGCATAGTGGCTGGCATTTACAAATCAAATAATATGTGGGGCTGGGCTCTGAAACTGCGTTCAGCAATGCAAATCTATGTGCAGGTGCAAGCAAATTCTAGATTTGGGTGGGTGACTTCTATGCAGTTATAGCTGGGAACTCATAGACAACTACTCAGCTCCCTCTGGGCCCCAGCATTGAACTACCTGAGAAATAAGACTGCCAATACAACAGGAAAAAAAGACCAACACCAAATGACAAAAACCACCTACATCAATTTAGACTGAAGTCAAGTGAACTTGGAAGAGAACTTGCTGGTGGTGACCCCTGGGCCACCAAAGCAAGAGACCTTTCTGAAGCTGCCAGGCAGTCACTGAAAAACAAACCAAACAGTCCTGTGGGGGCCTGGCTGCCGTGCTGGGGTGAGGACCCATATTACGACTGCGTGCGAGGAGTTAGTTCCAAGAAATGATCAGAAAAGTCACTGATAACTGAGCTCTGCCATGCTTGTTTGCACTCAAAGGTAGTGTGTGAGGGCAATTGTAACTGCTCTTCAGCAAAATTTGGGAAAAAATGCTCCTCTCCTCTCCTCTCCCCCCACGCACATTTCTGAAGGAGGAGGTAAAGAACTTACAAGAAGAGAAGTGGGACTTGAACACGATATTACGCAAATTCACACTCGACCTCTGCACACCCAAGTGCTCCCCTGGACACACGTGATCTACACGTCTCACTAGTTACCAAGCCGGAGATAATTTTTAAATTAGAGTTCTCAGGAAACAGAGGAAAATTCAGGGAAACACCCAAGTTTGGGATCCAGAGATGTCTGAAATGAGCCAGAGCAAAAGTTAACAAAATTCACTAGGGCAAGAAACTAGTCGATTGGTTCATTTAAAATCCCCGCATGAACACATTTACCGCCCAGTCGAACCACAGGCAGGGTCATCAGCGAGAAAGCAAAGGACGCCGGTACCTTCCGTCTAAATCCTCGATGTCTTTTATGAACAGACCACCCTGGTGCTTGCACAGATTCTTGCATGCCCGCAGGAAGCTCTTGTCCTTGTATATGATGTAGTCTTTGCTTGTGCTCTTATTCCGAAAAAAATTGATTCCTTCCTTGAGACTGGCAACTTCAGCAGGTGACAGACACAGAAGGATCTCGGCTGTTTGTTCAACGCTGTGAAAAGGCAAACATTTTGAGGGGCAAGATTAGTCACAGGAGGTTTCAAGAGAGAACCAGTTTGGAACAGACAGCTCAAAAAGGACCCAGGCTTGGGGACTCCTGGACCATGCACTTTCTCCCCCTCCCTCCCCTTTTAGTAAATCAGCAGATATCCCACTGGCTGATGCCCTTCTCCACTGTCCCAGAGAACTGAGACCTCTCGCACTTGCCTGTCCATCCTCGGCCAGCTCCTCACCCTGGGCGTCTGGCTCTTTGCACCACTGCTGCTCCTTTGCTGCTCCGAGGCTCAGTCTTCCTGGAGAGAGAGCGTTTACCCACAAGCTGTTTCCGCTGGCAGTTGACACTCTTTCCTCCTCTGCCACACCTCTTTGAAAGTCTTTCCTCCCGAGTAGCTGCTGGTTTTTGCACCTGCACTTCCCTCTGCCTGCCAGCAGTGAGTTCCCTCCTCACCTTGGGTTCAAAAGGATCTCAGCCACCCGCTGCTTCTGGCTCTGCTCCTCACTCCTTGGTTGAGCCTCCCAAGAGAGCCCGGGTCCTGACTGACAGCCTCTTTCTAAAGCCTTAGCTGGTGCTCTGCCCAGTGGGATTACTCGTGCGCACTTCCCCACCACTTAGCAGGCTCCTGCACTGTGTCTTCACTAGCTTGCTGTTAAACAAATTAACCATCCTGCTGCACGCACCTCCAGGGCTTTATAATACACACCGGTAGCAAGCAAAGCATTTGCGCTCTCATATTCTTTTTTTTTTTTTCAAAGACGTTACAGACTTAACAATTATCAAACCCTTTTTTCTACACAGGCACCCCCTTTGCAATGCAACTCTGAATCACAATGGAATATAAATTTTGCCAAGAGGGATTTCAAGCTACATTTCGTTTGTATGCCCATGTTATAAATCTGGCCACACGTTGTTCAATTTTATCTTCTACTCCAAACTTAATGTGGCTAAAATTCTTGCTTGGTGTTCACTTAAAATTGATTTGCAGCCCAGGCACATTTGCAGCATTTTCACTTTCATTTTTACTAGTTCTGCAGGTTTCTCAAGCATAGGATAAAAACAATTCTTAAAACATCCAAAGGTAGTGAGTAACAGAAGCTGCTTCTGCTTAAACCAATGAAGGTGCAAGCTCTCTGACTAAGGCACTTTTCCTCAAAGCAGATTCCCATTGTCACTCATGTTCCAAATTCCTGGTTCTGTTCACAATAGATGCGAAGGGACTCCAAAAACATGTTTTAAATGCTTTTTATAGAAAAGAGTCCCTTTTAAACCCCCCCCCCTTTTTTTTACTACAAACATTTAATATCAAGCAGAGGCAATTTCTAGAATAACTGATCCACATGCGTAGTTAGAAGGAAAACCTCTCTTGATGCTTTGCTTTGCTTGACTGGACGGTTCACAGGGCTAAAGTCTTGTGTTGGATCCCCAGCCCTTTCACAACCTCGTAAAGCAGGTTAAGCTACACCTGTGTCCAGCTGTAGTTGCAGTTTGCAATACCAATGTATGCAGTCGCACTGGAGCCCAGGGCAGGAAAAAAAAAAAGGCACACTCGCATACACCTGCTTTTGTGTATATTTTTAACTGGCTACTTTCCCCCAGATGTGCTTTTTTTTTTTTTTTAAAAGATTTCTTTATTTATTTGAAAGTCAGAGTTACACAGAGAGAGGAGAGGCAGAGAAAGAGAGAGAGGTCTTCCGTCCAATGGTTCACTCCCCAGATGGCTGCAATGGCTGGAGCTGCGCAGATCCAAAGCCAGGAGCCAGGAGCTTCTTCTGGGTCTCCCATGTGGGTGAAGGGGCCCAACAACTTGGGCCATCTTCTACTGCTATCCCAGGCCACAGCAGAGAGTTGGATTGGAAGAGGAGCAGCCGGGACTAGTACCGGCACCCATATGGGATGCCAGCCCTTCAGGCAAGGGCGTTAACCAGCTGCGCCACAGCACTGACCTCCCCAGATATGCTTTTAAAGATATCATTGCTGAATTTACTGGCATTAAATCAAGAAAATAAAACTGCAAAATTTGAGTTTTGGTCTAAACAAATTTTTCAAACAAAAGTGAGTTTTAATATACCTACTTTTCAGTGTTTCAATTTTTTCTAATACTGTAATGCTCTCTTTAAAGCAACCATTAAAAAGACACAAAACATTTTCACAGAAGCCCATACTTTTTCTGTTGCCTCACGCTTGCTGGCTTGGCCTGCCAAGGCAACGGGACTTTTAAGTTTTTAGCGTTTTTTTAGTCATGGAGATTTGGCCTGGATTTTAATTTTTTTTAACTTTTATTTAATGAATATAAATTTCCAAAGTACAGAATATGGATTACAATGGCTTCCCCCCCATAACGTCCCTCCAACCCGCAACCCTCCCCTTATGCACTTCCTCTCCCCTTCCATTCACATCAAGATTCATTTTCATTTCGCTTTATATACAGAAGATCAGTTTAGCATACATTAAGTAAAGATTTCAACAGTTTGCTCCCACACAGAAACATAAAGTGAAAAATACTGTTTGAGTACTACTTATAGCATTAAATCTCAATGTACAGCACACTAAGGACAGAGATCCTACATGAGGAGTAAGTGCACAGTGACTCCTGTTGTTGACTTAACAAATTGACACTCTTGTTTATGGCATCAGTAATCACCCTAGGCTCTTGTCATGAGCTGCCAAGGCTATGGAAGCCCCCTGAGTTCACCGACCCTGATCATATTTAGACAAGGCCATGGTCAAAGTGGAAGTTCTCTCCTCCCTTCAGAGAAAGGTACCTCCTTCTTTGATGACCCGTTCTTTCCACTGGGATCTCACTCGTGGAGATCTTTCATTTAGGGTTTTTTTTTTCCCCCAGAGTGTCTTGGCTTTCCATGCCTGAAATACTCTCATGGGCTTTTCAGCAAGATCCACATGCCTTAAGGGCTGATTCTGAGGCCAGAGTGCTGTTTAGGACCTCTGCCATTCTATGGGTCTGCTGTGTATCTCACTTCCCATGTTGGATCATTCTCTCCCTTTTTTATTCTATCAGCTAGTATTTGCAGACACTAGTCTTGTTTATGTGCTCCCTTTGGTTCTTAGTCCTATCAATATGATCAATTGTGAACAGAAATTGATCACTGGGACTAGGGAGATGGCATTGGTACATGCCACCTTGATGGGATTGAATTGGAATCCCCTGGTATGTTTCTAACTCTACCGTTTGAGGTAAGTCAGCTTGAGCATGTCCCGAATTGCACATCTCTTCCCTCTCTTATTCCCACTCTTATATTTAACAGCGATCACTTTTCAGTTAAGTTTCAGCACTTAAGAATAATTGTGTATTGATTACAGTATTCAACCAAAAGTATTAAGTAGAACAAACAAAAAAAAATACTAAGAGGGATAACATATCAAGTTGCTCATCAACAGTCAGGGTGAGGGCTGATCAAGTCAACGTTTCTCCTAGTGTTCATTTCACTTTAACAGGTTTCCTTTTTGGTACTCAGTTGTCACCTATCAAGCAGAACAAATGGTATTTGTCCCTTTGGGATTGGCTTATTTCACTCAACATAATGTTTTCCAAATTCCTAAGAGGGTGTGGGGAGCAAACCGGACTAGACTGAGTTACTGGAATTAAGACTTATTCTATGCATCTGCTCTCCCACAATATGGCGCTGGGAGAGAAGTAAACAGCTTCCGCACAGCTGCCTCCAGTTCAACCAATAAACTGTAGGACTTGCTACTGATTGGAGGAGAGCAGCGTACTCGGCGTGTGGGCAGCCGAGTTGGGATTGGCGGAAGAGGACTATAAAGGAGGAGAGAGACGGCATGCATCAGGAACATCTATGGGGAACATCTAAGGGGAACATCTAGCTGAAGGAACACCTGTGCAGCCCCCGAGAAGAGCCGGCCGGCGGTGTGCCGCTCCCCTGCGGAAGTGGGGAATGTGGCCAGGGGGAACTGCCCTTCCACGGAGGTGGAAGGGATAGTAGCCAACCCGGGAAGAACCAGCAGCAAACCCGGGGAGGGCCGAGCAGACGAAAGAACAGCGCAGGGTCCTGTGTCGTTCCTCCACGAAGAGGGGGAGCGACAAGAGGGATCACTTTTCAGTTAAAATTTAAACACCTAAGAATAATTGTGTGTTAATCACAGTGTTCAATCAATGGTACTAGAACAAAAAAAATACTAAAATGGATAAAGTATTGCATTGTACATCAACCATCAGGACAAGAGCTGATCAAGTCACTGTTTCTCATAGTGTCCATTTCACTTCAACAAGTTTCCCCTTTGGTGCTCAGTTAGTTGTCGCTGATCAGGGAGAACATATGATATTTGTCCCTTCGGGACTGGCTTAATTCACTCAGCATGATGTTTTCCAAATTCCTCCATCTTGTTGCAAATGACTGGGTTTCGTTGTTTTTGACTGCTGTATAGTATTCTATAGAGTACATGTCCCATAATTTCTTTATCCAGTCTACTGTTGATGGGCATTTGGGTTGGTTCCAGGTCTTAGCTATTGTGAATTGAGCTGCAATAAACATTAATGTGCAGACAGCTTGTTTGTTTGCCAATTTCATTTCCTTTGGGTAAATTCCAAGGAGTGGCATGGCTTGGTTGAATGGTAGGGTTATATTCAGGTTTCTGAGGAATCTCCAGACTGACTTCCATAGTGGCTTGACCAGTTTGCATTCCCACCAACAGTGGGTTAGTGTCCCTTTTTCCCCACATCCTCGCCAGCATCTGTTGTTGGTAGATTTCTGAATGTGAGCCATTCTAACTGGGGTGAGGTGAAACTTCATTGAGGTTTTGATTTGCATTTCCCTGATTGCTAGTGATCTTGAACATTTTTTCATGTGCCTGTTGGCCATTTGGATTTCCTCTTTCGAAAAATGTCTACTTACATCCTTGGCCCATCTCTTAAGTGGGTTGTTTGTTTTGATGTTGTGGAGTTTCTTGATTTCTTTGTAGATTCTGGTTATTAACCCTTTATCTGTTGCAGAGTTTGCAAATATATTTTCCCATTCTGTCGGTTGTCTCTTCACTCTCCTGACTGTTTCTTTTGCAGTACTTCAACTTCTCAAATTGATGCAATCCCAAATGTTAATTTTGGCTTTGACTGCCTGTGCTTCTGGGGTGTTTTCCAAGAGGTCATTGCCGGTACCTATATCTTGCAGGGTTTTTCCAATGCTCTCTAATAATTTGATGATGTCAGGTCGTAGATTTAAGTCTTTAATCCATGTTGAGTGAATTTTCGTGTAAGGTGAAAGGTAGGGGTCTTGCTTCATGATTCTGCACGTGGAAATCCAATTTTCCCAGCACCGTTTGTTG